ATTTTATCATATGCCAGTGAGGCGCAATAAGTGAAATCTAATGCACCTAGCGTCCGAGTCCTTGATATTTATGTTACTGAATTAAGACCCAACTTAAGACTGTAGTGGGCTCAAATGTGAGTAACGCAAATATTTACATGCAGTGTAAGAACGATATGCAATAATGCACCTGAATACTCTCTAATTAATTCAAATTAAGTAATTTGGGTCCCAATAAGGATACAAATGAATGTAATACTATATAATGTAATGATGATTAATGTATGTGTAATGTATATATAATGTATGTACAATGTACGTAAAATGTATAACATATGCCTTTGGTACGCAGCAATAGTTTGTCAACAATATGTAATAATGCCATTATCAATACTGCCTTAGACTTTCCCAGCTTGCAAATGTAGTGATGACCCTAGTTAGGACATGTAATTTTCTATATATTCAACAAAAAATACAGAGGCTCGGACAAGCGGATGGGAGAGTATCCCCGGAGGCCGCTTTTGGTGAATGGGTCCGTCCTCGGGATACATCGGGCGCTGGGTTTCGACGCTCTGTGCAAGACCCTTGTGGGGCCCTCAAATTCGACTATAGATACTGGTGGACGTGGCACTACACCAATTAACCATATGGTAAAGGGGTGGTGCTCACGTCCTCCGTCGCATGTCGCATCCGCTTATCAAATGTAGAATACTTTTAACTACGGCTAAAATTTAGAAAATTCGAAAACATATTTATTGTTAAGGCCCCTGGAGAATATTTTTTATAAATAATTTGCGTGAATTATGTTTTGTTGGCTTAAATGCGTGTTTCAAGTGACACACACAGTTTCTTTTGAAGCAGTGCTCTTCTTAATCGTAACCTACATTAACGCTTTTGAAGAAATATTTGAGTGAGTTTTTAATACTCCATTTTCTTCCAAGTTTCATGTTAAAGTGTTAACCTAACTATAATACTGGGACTTAAAACTAGCGGTTAATGGTGGTGGTTGCTATTTACAACTTTCACTTACAACTAACTATTTTGACTTACAAGTAGCTCCACCTTATTGACTTGATAAAAAAGAAACCGGCTGCCGTGGCCTGTATTAAGGTTAATATAGGCTTCTGAATCGCACCCATATTAAGATTTTGGAAGAAGTATTGGAATAATCTTTTAATATTTCGTTTTTCTCCCCTAGCTTCACGTTGAAGAGTTAACTGAATTACTTAGTACTACATTGGTACTTAAAACTATCGGTTATTGCTAGTCGTTGTTATTTACAACTGGCACTTACAACTAACTATTTTGGCTTGCAATTAGCGCCACCTTGTTGACATGGTGACAAAGAAACCGGTTGTCGTAGCCTTTACCATAAACTGGAATTCCGAAGACCACATGATGTTTGTAATGTATATAGTGCTTTTGTAGTAGGAATGTAAAGCCTAACTTTCTCTCAAGAAGTAATGCCTTCTCAAAGTTGATGGAAGAGGTAAGAAACTTTCGCCCTGATTAGAAGAAAAATGCACAAACTTACTCTGCCACCTATAAGGCACCCAAGGCATTGGCAACGACAGGTGAAATACTTGTTTCTTGTCTACAATAAAAATCGTATATTAGATCTAGATGTAGGTTATATCAGGAGGATTATTGACAACGGCTTATAACTAAAGCGTTGTACCACTTTTTAAATCGTTGCAACCAAATCGCCTATATCATATTTAAAGAAATTAAATAATGAAGAAGATTCTTGAATGTATGTATGTTTCTCGCTTTGTGAAAAACTAACAGTAGAGCCATCAGATTTTTAACAACGCAGTCCATCCCCCAAATACGAGCCCCTAGAATCCCAAATTTGGAATTTGTTTCATTGTCTATTTCATAATTTTTTAAATCACAACGAAATTTTTATTAACGAACTCAACGATTTCAAAGCGAGCAATGGCAGCACTGTACGGAAAAGAAATTACCTCCAGCGCGCGAGACTGTCTATCAGAAATTCTAGAGATATGCTGTTTTTATATACACTGAAGTGACAAAAGTCATGGGATCATGGGATACCTCCTAATATTTTGTGTCCTCCTTTTGCCTGGCGAAGTGCAGCAACTCGACGTGGCATGGACTCAACAAGTCGTTGGAAGTCCCCTGCAGGAATATTGAGCCATGCTGCCTCTATAGACGTCCATAGTTGTGAAAGTGTTGACGGTGCAGGGTTTTGGGCACGAACTGACCTCTCGATGATGTCCCATAAATGTTCGATGGGCTTCATGTCGGACGATCTAGGTGGCCAGATCATTCGCTGGAATTGTCCAGAATGTTTTTCTAACCAATCGCGAACAATTGTGCCCGGTGACAAGGCGCATTGTCATCCATAAAACTCCCATCGTTGTTTGAGTACGTGAAGTCTATGAATGGCTGTATGTGATCTCCAAGTAGATGAAGGTATCCATTTTCAGTCAATGATCGGTTCCGTTGCACCAGAAGACCGAGTCCATGCCATGTGAAAACAGCCCAGACCATTATGGAACCACCACCAGCTTGAACAGTGCCTTGTTGACAACTTGGGTCCATGGACTTCGTGGGGTCTGCGCCACACTCGAACCCTACCATCAGCTCTTACCAACTGAAATCGTGACTCCTCTGACCAAGCCACGGTTTTCCATTCGTTTAGGGACCAATCGATATGCTCACGAGCCCACGAGAGTCGCTGCAGGCGATGTCGTGCTGTTAGTAAAGGCATTCGAGTCGGTCTTTCTTCTGCTGGCATAGCCCAAGGAAGACAAATTTCGCCGCGCACTGTCCTATCGGACACACGTCCCTCGTACGTCCCACATTGATTTTTATGCGGTTATTTGACGCAGTGTTGCTTGTCTGTGAAACATTGACAAACTCTACGCAGACGTCGCTGGTCTCGGTCGTTAAGTGCAGGTGGTCGGCCACTGCGCTGTCCATGGTGGGATGTTATGATGATGCCTGAAATTAGATATACTCTCGGCACACTCTTGACACTGACACTGTGGATCTCGGAATGTTGAATTCCCTAACGATAGCCGAAATGGAATGACCCATGCGTCTAGCTCGAACTACCATTCCGCGTTCAAAGTCTGTTAATTCTCGTCGTGCGTCCATAATCACGTCAAAGCCTCTTCACATGAATCACGTCAAAGCTTCTTCACTTGAATCACGTCAAATCCTCTTCACATGAGTAACTTGAACACAAATGAAAGCCTTGCCAAAGCACTTCGCATTTATACATTTTCTACGCGATACTATTGCTATCTGTATATTTGCATATTGCTATCCCATTACTTTTGTCACTACAGTGTATTTTTAGCGCAAATGCTTTCGAAACGCTTATGTGTGTAAATGCGAAAACGTCCCTTTGCCTACAATATAAAAGCTGAAATCTTTCAGATTTATTTATTATTATTATTATTATTTTAATTTTCAAAATTTCTCAACATGACTTTCATTCATTTTCTTTCATATGAATTTTGATTACCACAAGCAAATATTAAATTAATATGTATAAGTAAAATTAAGGTTTTTAAGTGGAAAATAGAGCAATGATATTGCTATTCACATATGTTTTAAAAAATTTAAAAATACTCTTATATTTAATTTTGAAAATTCTTGAAATTCTTAGAAAATATAATCAAATCAAAATACGATCTAAATAACATTAAGCTGTTAACTGTGTTGCCCCCCTCCTCAAATATTTTGCGGTCCTTTACAATTTCATCTCTCTGTATTTGTACTACACATTGGAAATATTGTAAAATTCCAATCCGCCAAGGCCATCCTTTTAAGACGAATATAACGGCATTTATTTGTTTTATCTTCTCGATAATAATTTTCTGTTCGATATTGCAGAATAAAACTTCTTTTTACAGTACACAATTTTCATAACTATTTTTCCATTAACGACGAAATATTTCAAATTATAAATTACTTTCTTCCGATTCACGAGGTAATATGTTAGTTTTATTTCAACATTTACTTTATTTGATTTCACTTGAAGTTTTCGAATTAACTTTAATGGCGAATTCTTTTTTTTTTTTTTTTTTTTTTTTTTTTTTTTTTTTTTCTTTTCACTTTTAAGTTTAATTTTCTAAGAATGTTACATTTAATTGCTTCGTCTCTTATTTAACGTAAAAAGGAATTATATAAAACCGACTGCTGAAGATAATAATTTGAACTGTATGAAAAAATGTGTAGTGCCTTTTATTGTAAATTTTTCCGCTTCGAATAAATTAAATGACTATGCCTTTTAAATTTTATTTTTTATTCCATCTGAGTTAGAGCATACATGTTAGAATTTTATGAACACAGACATTATAATTTTAAAACAAAAAAACTCAAGTCTTGAGTATTTTATTTAGAAAAATACTGTATGTATTTCCAAAGAATTATCTAACTAGAACGATCTGATTTTTTCCTCTCCTTTATTTTAAATTGAATTTTGCATGATTTTAAAACTTTATGTATTGTAAGCGAGCATTTTCAAAAATGTATATAAAAGCATTCTAAATCAAAACAAAATTGTAAAATAATTGTATGCATGATGAACAACATTTTTGAAATGTAAAACATGCTCACATATATACGCATATTAAGCAAAATAACTGTTAATAAGTCAATAGAAAAATTAAGACCAATTTTTAATAAAAGAGATTAGATTGGGTCTTACTAGTACAAAATGGAAATTTCAGTTTTTGTTTTTTCAATTCGGATCTGTTATGTTAAAAACCTTTTAAACGTGTTTAATTAATAATTTCATTTTGTTTCGTTCTTCATTTCGATTTTAATTTCAGAAGTCATTTTTTGTTTTCTGTCAGACAAAATTTATCATAAATTTATCATAAATTTCATCTTATCAGAATATATATTTCTAATATTATCAGTCATAAAAATTTGATGACACATCATTTTTGTTTTAAATCTTTGAATTAACTGTTTATTTTGTTTTGTTTACTGCTATAGAAAATATGCAAACTTATTTCTTCTTTTTTTTTACTGAACAGCTTCTTTTCCCAGCGACAGAAAGGTTCGTTACATTTTATGATTTTTTCATATAACGTAATGCAGGGATTTGCAACCAGGAGTGAATTCCTTCTAGGGAAGAATTTCATAGTTCCAGTGGTCGAATGCAGTCAGCATTTCATTTCGCTTTCAAGTACTTAGTTTCAGTTTATGAATATAAAAAAAAAAAAAATACTTTAATTCAAGTTTTGAGACTGTTTAGCATTCTCTGTCCTTTGTTGTTTTTAATTTATGAAGCACATTAAAAATAATCTAAATAAATGCATGTTTATATTTTTTCAAATTTGGGAAAAAAGGGAGAAATGGTCTTCTATCAATGGTGGTTGGAGCACAAAAACTTCGGAATCACTGATAAAAGTCTGCATTATAAATTTGCATCTTCTTAAATTCTTTTTAACTTTTAGATATAACTTTGGATTGGATGAGTGAAGGAATGGCAAGACCAAAATTTAAATTAGTAAAACTGTTGGTAAATTTAATTGATAATAAAAAAAACTATATAATCTCTAAAATTTGTTTTTAACAGTAGCTTTGGCTAAATGAAAATTCAGAAATACTTTATATTTAAATTTTGAAAAACTTAAATAGCTGCATAATTTAATCCCAAAATTGTCTTTTTAACCTTTGTCATATTAGTAAGCCTAGTAATTGTTGTCTTATTGAAAGGAATATTTTCCTTTATCCCTAGTCAGGATAGAATTTTAAAAAAAAACTCCATCGGAATCTTGATGAGAATCTTGGCAGAACCCCTGGTTTCAAATATTTTAAAAGCTTCTAAACTCTAAACCCAGTGGCCAAAACAGCCCTAGTGGGGCAAGGACAGTGTCCCGCAGTCTGCCCCGGTTTGGTTTGGTTTTATTAGATTACAGCAAAGCGCTCGAGGGCTATCTGTCTTAAGGGAGGGATGCCTTCGTGGAGGACTTTCTAAGGGAAACTGGCTCGTATACACGATATACATGGAGAAAACCACGAAAACGCCATGCAGCCAGTCCGTTCACGGGATTCGAACCTCGAACCGAATTACCAGTGTTCAGCGACGTTACCACTCGGCCGCTGGTGGGCCCCTTGGGCCCCGGAGTGCGTTAGCATATGCTATGGGTAAGTGGTCACCTTGTCGCAGGACCCCCGGTGTTTAGTCCCCAAGCGACCTTGGTACTCATTTTATCGACCCACTCAAGGGATGAAAGGCTGAGTCAACCTTGCCCAGCCCGGGGATCGAACCCCGGGCCTGTGGTGCAGCTGAGCGACGCGCTACCCACTGCGCCACCGGACCTCTTTAAATCTCAACTTGGAATTAATTTTTTATAAAACCGAATCCCACTTTCTAAATCCAAAATAATTTTTAATAAAATTAAAGCACAAGCCAAAATAATTTGAATTTTAAAATCTTCAGAATTTTATTTTGAATTTCGTTTCAAATGTAAAATTATATAAAAAGGAGCATATCTAAAAATATGTTATGCATTTGAATATATTATAAATTTATAAATTTACATAACGAGGCTTGTAATCTTTATATAAGTAAAAAACTTCATCATTAGCGTTAGATTTTATTTTTATTGCAGTGTACACAAGGAACAGAGTTAGAAATGTTATAATCGATCTATTATTTTAGAATTTTATATACCTTTCAGAACAAATATGCTCAACACTTCCCAATTCTGAGCCATGAAGAGGTACTTCATGTACTCTAGAAGAAATACTCAGTAACCAGGATGGTAAATTTACAGTAAATATGCTTAACCATTTCCGGCACGCTACATTTAAAGTCGGAGTTTTTATTAAAAAAAAAGGGTAGGCAGTCTAATTAGGCCTAGAGGAGTACACCAGTAAAATTTTGTGAAGTTAGCACTTATCGTTTTAATTCTGTAGGTGGGCCCAAAGTGGCACACTGATTGAATAGAGCTTCGGAAAGAGTGCTGAAACGAGCATTGTTGTCAATGAACTGACCGATGATATGCGGAGAAACAACGAATACAGACTCTCAGGTGTCCTAGATTATCAGTGAGCCCGGTCTGAGCATCCTAGGGTCGCCGTTGATTTTAAGAAATTTCAAGTAAAAATTTAAAACTAATATAGAATAAGATAAAGAGAGTGCATACAGCCAATAATAACATAGAAATTTCTTTTCAAACAATCCTTTATACCTAAAAAATCTGGAAGTTTTCTTTGAAAAAATGGGGTCTTAAAAAACTAAAATGGCTAAATATAGAACTGGTTGTGTTGAGAACTAGTCATTTTAGGCTTTGGCAACTCCGACCTAGGTATTTATTATGAGGCACCAACAGACGGCCACCGTAACTATAAAGGGCGAAATTAATCCAGATCTGGGACTCGACCCCATTTACACAGTTAAATCATAAACGGCTTAAAGTATAGTAAATGTGGCGCGCTGCTTAAGAATTTAAAATTAAGACACAAAACACGCCGAATAAATACTAATTCAGAAGTCAAACAAACAAAAATCAGCGTTAATTTACAAAATTTTCACAGGACTAGTTTCGATGGTTTTACCGAACCATCATCTTCAGCTGCAAAACCGCAAATGAACAAGATAGGAAATAATGATTAGATAAGATAAGAAAGCCTGGACAAGAATAAGCAAGTGGCGCCATCTGTTGGCGAAACCAGAACTAAAACATAATTTCTCTAAAAGCCGAAGGCAAATTTGGATTGGAATTAGGATCGTTAACTAGAACAGAAAGATTTTTATGAATGTGAAATGCCTCTAGAAAATCCAGTTCTCCAATGGAAGATGTTTTTTGAATAATTTTGGCAGCAGAAAAAAAATTGAAAGTGTGATTTTCGGACCAACAATGTTGAGCAACAGAAGACTTCTGTGTTTCCTTTTTTCTAACATATGCCTCATGTTCTTTGACGCGAAATTTTAAGGCTCTCTTAGTTTGGCCAATGTAAATTAAACCACACTGGCAAGGAATCCTATAAATACCCCAGGAATTCATATCCGGAATGGGGTCCTTGAGTATAGAAGTTGGAATTTTATTGATGGGAGAAGTAAACAACCCGAAAGTTAAATTTCTGCAAAATATGTGCAACTTTATAGCTAATTGATGGAAAGAAGGGAATGACAACAGAATTTTTATAATCTCCTAAAATAAGAGTGTGGGCTTTTAGTGTGTTGAGATGAGAATTTTTTAACTGCTTGATTAATAATGTTTGGGTGAAAAGCCCCTGTCAATAGCTATTGCTTTTAAATAATTTAGTTCTTCATCAAGGGCTAGTTTGGAGGAGCAAACTTGAAGAGCACGGAAAACATAGGAATAAAATGAAGCTAACTTTTGTTTAGTCGGATGACATGATTTAAAGTGTGGTGGAAGGCAAACCGATGAAGGTTTACGGTAAACTGTAGTACTGAAGTTGGATGTGTTACGTGTGACCAGAATGTCGAGAAACGGAAGAGAATTGCAAGTCTCAAGTTCAAAAGTGAACTGAATAGCAGGATCAATAGAATTCATTGTTGAAAGAACTCTATTTAAATCATCTTTATTACCTTCAAACAGGGTAAAAGTATCGTCTACGTAGCGGAACCATGCCGGGAAGTTTAAAGTTTCAAACAATTTTGATTCATAATAATGCATGTAGATATCAGCCAGGATGGGACTGAGGGGGCTTCCCATGGCTAATCCCTCAGTTTGCTTGTAATATTTATTTTGGAAAACAAAATGTGTTTGTTTCAAACAGAGTTGAGTGAGAGAGATTAGCTCATCAATTTCGATGCAAGAGAAATGAAATTCGCGAAGTCTGGTTTCTAGACATCTTAATGCACCCTCCACTGGGACATTGGTGAATAATGATTTTACATCAAAAGAAACCATGAGTAAATTACTAGGAGAAATGTTTTTAACCTTTTTTACAAACTCTATTGAATTTTTTATGGTGTAAATGTTATTGTCTAATAGAGTGGAAAATCTAGAAACTAAATATTTAGCTAATGGATACGAGGCAGTACCTAAATTTGATACAATAGGGCGGAAAGGAATACCACTTTTATGAATTTTGGGAAGAGCATATAATCTGGCACAATTCGCAACAGATGGGATAAGCGAATGTTTTAAGTTGCTTGAAATGATTTGCGAAGATTTGATCGCAGCAGTTTTTATTTTGGATATAAGGTCCGAAGGTGAAGGATCTTTAGGGATCGGATTATATGGTCCTTCGTTTAAGAGTTTAGTGACACCATCGATGTAAGTGTTCTTATCCATGACGACTATCTGGCCACCTTTGTCGGCCTTTGAAATGACAATATCCGGGTTAGAATGAATCTCGCGCATTGTAGCTCTTTCTCTCGCAGTTAGATTTGGTTTCAAAGGTTTATTATTGAATTTCACATTATGAGCGATAAGATGCCTAATCATTTCTTTCTGTGAATCTGAAACTTTACTGAACTTGAAAGCTTTTTCGATAGGAGCCAAAATCTTTGGAATCGAGGGTTTACAGGTTTGTGAGAAGTTAAAATTATATTTTAGAATTCTCTCTTGTTCTTCTGAAAGACTAACATTAGAAATATTAACTATTGGCTTGATGTTTACAATGGGAAGATTTTTTGAACTACTTGAACTGGAAGACTGTAAAAGAAGTTTTTCGAATTTAACTGCAAGGGTGTTTTTATGACGGTTAACTGCATTCTCCGTTCTAGACCAAGACTTTTGTTCAAGGGCAGTGAATTTTGGATATGTTTTAGCGAGAGTTCCAGATGAAGCTTATAGAGTTCGTGTTCAATTTTGGACAATTGTTGACGTGTATCCCTTATCACGGACCGAAGTAAGGCAAGTTTGCAATTTAACAGAATTCTTGAAACGCGACTCGAAGGTTTTTGATTAGATTTGATTTGAATAAAATTGGGGATCAATTTTTTTACATTTAAAGAAAAAATTTCGAGTCGCGTTTCAGAATTCGTAAATTGCAAACTTGCCTTACTTACCTACTACGCAGTTGCACGAGCGCAAAGGTTGTCTTAGCACGGCTCTGGTTTACCAAGTCGATTTGATTTTTTTCTGCGATCAGTGTTAGCACATAAAGGTTGCTATCGGTCTAAGT